ACGGATTGTATTGTGCATGCGGCTACCCGCAGCTTGGCACCCGTTGGAGGAGGCTGCCTCCCACCGGATTTCACCCCCTCACACCGGGGTGAGACAAGTTATGCAGGTTTGAGAGAAATTCATGAAGATGTAGCGAAACGGAATAGAACCCAAAACCGTATCCCATTTCGTATTCCTTAATGTTTGCTATAGATACTGAAAATACTATGGTTAGAAAGGAGGTAGTATACATTCCAGAATACCGACAGGGAATATTCGTAGTAATTCGCGTGTCTCTGCCTAATTGGATTACCCGAGATTATAGTGCTGTTTTGGTTATTAAAGTGAAGAGGTATCTACCGCAAAATGTTTGATTGCATTCTGAATATTCTTGGATAGCTCCCTGTGTTTAGCTGAGAAATAAATATTTCGGAAGAATTCAAGAGCGACGAAAACATGGTTAAATCTCAATTAAACCATGCAACACGCTGAATCCAGTATAAGCTTATAGAATGTACACGTCAGGTTTTGTGGAAACATTGTACCAGCGACCGTAAATACGAGTTAACGATGCTTAATTAACATGGATCGGCTCTGCAACCAAAAACTGGAGGATTTTGGTGGCACGGGAATATTCGTATACAAATTTTCGAACGTGGTGGGTCGGCGGAAATTTGAATTGTGCGTTCAACTCTGATGGTCAAATCGAATCCCCTCAATTATTTAACTGTAACAAGGTCGGAATGATTATTGGAGATACGCAATTCGAGCGTGCCCAAATTACTATCATACATGATACAGTGCAGAGTTTCAATTTGGAGATTTTTTTTCTGAGACAGTGGAGAATTTCGAATTGTTGATTGATGAATGTGATTGGGAATTGGAATTTTCCGTACATGAAGGAGTCAATTTAGGCCATTTCATCCCTCTATATTATAAAAATCCAAGTCAGCTCTTGGTGATGAAAATTTAGTACTTGAAATTAAGACGCCAAAATTAAGGGTCACAAGGGTCATGAGGGTCAGAATGAGGGAAATAAGGGTCATAATATGAGTGATGAGGATCAAAATGAGAGTCACAAGGGTCAGAATAAGGGTCCAAATAAGGGCCACAAGGGTCAGTTTAAGAGTTATGTTGGTCAGACTAAGGATCACAACATTAAGGAGCACAAGGGTTAGATTAAGGGCCCAAATAAGGGTGACAAGGGTCAGATTACGGGGCTAAATAAGTGTCAGAAGGATCACATTAAGGGTCCGAGTAAGGGTCCAAATCAGGGACATGGAGGCCAAAAACCAAAGGTCAGAAACTAAGGATCCCCAGCGTCAAAATAAGGTTTACGAGGGTTATAATGATGCTCAGATTAAGGATCCAATGAGGGTCACAAGGTTCTGATTAAGGGCCAAATAAGGGTCATGGGGGTCAGAAACTAAGGGTCCCTATTTCCTCTGAATTTCATAGAAAAGATTTAAAAAAGATGTTACAAGTCATGTTAGACACCAAAAAAAAACGTTATTTTTCAATTTCAAAGGCGTTAAAATAAGGTTTTCAAAAGTCTTAATTTGAGGCTTCGAGATAGTTTGGTACTTGAAATAATCTTTTCCTTTCGCAGAGTATTTCGTGGCTGTGTTGGCCTACTCCGCCACCTAGCGGTGGCGTCTCCATAACCAGGTTACCATAACGTACTTGACTGATGGTCACAGAAAATTTTTGAAACATAAAATTATAGGCCAGTGAATTACAATCTTATTTTATCCGCTAGATTCGAAGGACTCCAGATTACAATTAGCAGAATTCTATCAAGGCTAATGATGTACATCCACAAAAAAACTCTCTCTTCTCTTCACAGAGGGTAAGGGCTGTAGAAGAAGGGTCAACCACCAGGCGTCATTACTCAGTTACTCACAATTCGCCCCTGGCTATAGAACCCTCTGCGAATTACGTAACCTGTCAGAGACCACTTGTAACCATTGCCATAATAAAAACCTCGACGATCCATCCAGGCTCGGTACGTGCCCATTGCGACTCCGCTCCCGAGAAAAAAGACGCGTATACAAGTCATGAAGAATGAAGAACTCGACAAAATATTCTTTTGGTAAAACCGATTTCAGGACAAATACACGAGACCACAAAAAACTTAGCTGTTTGTTATGAATTTCACTGGTACCGTTTTAAATGAATTTTTTTGTCCTCCCTAACAAGATTAAATCAGAAGGATTCGGGAATGAGAAAGAATGTAAGCGGGATTTTCTCCATGCTGGGACAATGTAAATATGACATGCGGGGGAAAAATGAAAAATAATGAATGTAATCCGCGAACCGTATGTTTTCAGTTTTATCTGTATTTGACATAACTTTGAACCCTACGTTTTAACATTTCTCTGACGGACTTTCGTCAAGACAGAATTTTTTAAATCCCTTATGCGCTCATTGAAAAGTTTCCTTTATTTAATGAAAGAGTTCATTATTTTGATAACGCGAGAAGATAATTTTCAGGGTGAAGATAAATTTATGCACCCGCCCGTTGGGAACTTTGTTGAACTGCAATAAGTATCTAATCCCTCGTGATGGAATAGATAATTGAACTATTGAACATACAACCTGACAGAATTTCCGAACAATATGATATGATTATCAGGTGAGATCCACCCCTTGTATTATACCCCACGTGATAGGTGTTTGAAGTGGCGCTTTTAATTATCGGTCGTCCCTCATTCACTTCGGCGGAGGGCTTAGGGATGAGGATAGAGAGGACTTTGCGGAGAATTTACAGGTCCACCACACACGACGGTGTCGTGAACTGGACGCTTGGACAAAGGTGCTGGCCATTTTCGTTGAAATTGTAATTATACAGGGGTTACTACGACGCCCTTACCCCCTATCCCCCTTCCCCCGATTTGATCTAACTGCAAAGTCTCAATTTGAGACTTTTATAGACTCTTCAAGTCAAGATTTTCAGAACTCAACTTGAAATTTTTCTCAAATTGAAATTTTCAATTATTTTAAATTGAGACTTTCAAAAATCTCAATTCAAGATTACAAGATCTCCAAATAAAGTTTGTTTTTCTGTGCGTGAGCATTTGAAACAAGGACAATATTTGCAACCGAAAGGTTCCGGGATTGAATCTCAGTCTGGGGAAATCCGCTTGTTCGCATTGAAATTTTTCTCAAAATTTATGAAAATGCACTAACAGTCCGCATGAATGGCATCTCACACACATCAACTTGAATAATACATTATGAGTTCGAAGTATTCCCAAGAGTTCAGGACACCATTCATAGATTAGCATGACTCCGCGCAGCGAATCATCGAATTTTTGATTATTAATTATTGATAATTGATCATTAATGAATCAATGACGTTAAATCCTATTCACTAAAGAAAAACGTTTGTCATCGGATAGTTTTCATCCAAAAAAATTATACTTCATTTCAAGACTTCAAAGGTCTTAGAATAAGCCTTTTGAAAGTCTCAAGTTGATACTTTAGAGTGCCTTAAGTCAAGAGTTTCGGAACTCAACGTGAAATTTTTCTCAAATTGAAATTTTCAAGTATTTCAAATTGTTGTACCCCAGAATATTCCATTGTATAATTATAAAGAAATTAGATTATTATCGACTCAGCATCGTATTACAATACGAGACAGTTTTGTAAGACGAATACAAAGAAGAATTGAGGCAAGTGTGCCAGGGTTTTTGGCACATTTGCTTTAAATACCGCGAACATACTGGACTCGAGAGTTCATTTTGAGTTCACTTTTTAAATTATTTATTCTTTTGTTTCAGAGTAAACCGTTATTCTTTACTTAGAAAATTAATAAACTAAAGTATCTTAAATTGCTGAGATTGAGTCCTCTTACTCGATCATTCTACTGTACATTACAAAGTGAGATTTTGAAAAGTCTCATTATGAGATCATAAGTCTCAAAATAAAGTTTGTTTTTGTGTGTGTGAGCAGTTGAAACAAGAACAAGATTTGCAATCGAAAGGTTCCGGGTTCGAATCCCAGTATGGAGAAATCCACTTGTTCGCAATGAAATTTTTCTAAAAATTTATGAAAATGCACCAACAGTCCACATGAATGACATCTCATACACATCAACTTGAGTAATACATTATGAGTCCGAAGTATTCCCAAGAGTCCAGGACACCATTCATAGATTAGCATGACTTCGAGCAGTGGATCATCGAGGCTGTAAACATGACTCTACACTGTTTACCGGACATCCCAGTTTGGCCGTTGGGCATTCGAGCAATGCCTCAATCTAACACCCGAAGCTGGTCAATCTGTGCTCGCAACCCGAAAATTACATATCTGCCTGTGGGATTAGCGCAATGCACCAGTGAACTAAACAAATATGCATGAATATATGAGGGAACATTATTGCTTTCGGAATCTATTGAGTTGCTAACATTCTCATGCAGTAGCCTCCGGATGTGTTAATCCCGGTTGTAGTGCAAGAGTGAAGATATATCTATCTGGAAAAGGTTGGGATAGGGATTAACGCGCCTTTGATCAGGCAGACGTGAATTCCGATATGCGATTTAATGGGTGGGTAGCATGCATGTACTTTGCCGAATACGCATCATGAAGAAGACAAAAGTTTTCACTGAAATAATCACATTATCGCTTCCATTTTAGACTAAACTTTCCTAAAAATGCAGATAGCTGGTGAGCGTATGCGTGGGATCCGAAAAAATTAGTATGACGTTCAAGTTCTCTAACGTCGTTAAAACCAAAAGCAATTAAGTAATTATATTCTAACACGCGACAGTAAACCATGTTTCCTATTCGAGTTCGAAACATAAAATATTTTGTAACACGATAAAAGTATAATTCATGAGGTACGGTATCGTCTTCACTAAATTGCACCAATTTTAATATTCGCGGGTTTTGGTGCAGAGCAATTAACTTTTGTATTTAGAATTATTGAATGAATTTCGATTGTTCAAGAAGCTTTAATGATGATGGATGATAAAACTAGGGATGATGGAAGGTTATTATATTGAAAAATGTATACTCACGAGATGCGAGTCACGGGTTGTGAAGGTGACGGGATCTGACTTTGGCTCACGACAGTGAAAATCAATTCTGCCCCAGGCAGTCGCTCCTGTGGCGCCGTTTTTCGCAGCTTCAATCAACTCCATCTCTACGCCTTCAGCTTTGAACACGACCTGTGGAGAAATAAATTTAGGGGATAGCGTCATTTCGTCACGTATTACTTGACATTGCCTTTGGAATGTATTTATTTCTTTGATGATCGGAGATTGAAATGATTTTACTAAAAAGTTGGCATAACGGATCTTTGTTAATTACTTGTTCATACGCTGTTGAAAATTTTTTGAAATTTCATGGAAGATATTGTAGTAAATCTCATGAGAGTGATATTGAATTGAATTTAGGGAAAAAATGGTTGCGAAATTTCGAGTTTTAAGTAAACTGCACGGAAATTCATGAGTTTTCAGTGGGAGTGAGATGGCAATTTTACAACTTGATTGATTTTTCAGTGGAACATGAATATTCAGAAACAAAATGAGTTGCAATTTCAATTTTTCCTGGAATTTTTCTGATTTTTCTGAATTTTCACCGGATAATTGAGCTGAAGAATCAAGTATTTTATTGATTTCCAGATCATTTAAACAGAAAATCAATGGAATATTTGATTTTTCAATGACAAGATTTCCTGAAATCTCAGAGGATCTTGAAAACGACAAAAATTTCCGGAATTTGACACGTAAAAATCAGAGGAAAATTTATAACAGTGTGAAAAAGAGCGCCATATGCATATATGTTTTGTTAAATTTTTGTTCACTTATGAATGAGCCCCACGGAGAGAATTATTCAATAAAAATTACATATCTTTTCCGTAATTCCGCAGCGAAATGTGGTTGTAGGAAATTTTACGGAACTGTCACGGAATTTTTCCGGAGCGTTTTGTAATTTTAATCTTAATCTTCTGTGAAAAATTACGATACCGCCTCTTAAATTTTCTGAGTCGATTTTCTGAGTCGTAATCGGTGAGTGAATTGTGAGTTCCGTAATTTTTACGAAACATTTCTCTCCGTGCAGCCCACTTAATGATGTAAGATAAACACTTCATTATTATTTATAAATTTTTGCTACACTGACACAGTATTAGTGAGAGATACAAAGAATTCATATAATACGAGGAATTGATTTTGTAGAATATCAACTTGCATGATTTTGTTACTTTTTTGCTTGCGAATGGAAAGTTTGTAATCGTTGATTTTTAAGATCTTCTAATTTTGCCTGGAAATGACGTAGAATGCCATGAAATGTGAAGATATGATGTTTTAAGAAAATTTTTATAAATCTTCACTGAAAAAGGACTAAAATTGAAGCGAAACAATGGAAATTTAGTCACATAATTGGTATTACTTTGGAGTACTTTTGGCCGCAATTTCAGCTCAATCCGTCAAGTAGTTTCCGAGATACAGCAATTTCTCAAAAATCTTTTTTCCTAAAATAAATTCTCCTAAATTATTTCCTAAACTTTCTTCGTCCAAACCCCTTTAATTCGCTTTATTCGAAAACTACGCCCACGTGATTGGATAACTGGGGGTGGGTCGGTTTTCGACATTCAAAATATGGGTTTAGAGCACTATGTTTTATATTTGTGAATGTTCATCTGATTTCTAACTTTTTCAATCAAAATCAAGTGTCTGTTGGAGAAACACCCGAATTGACTTCAAAAAGTTAGTATTTCACATTTAAAGGGAAAAACTACGGATAATTCGATATTGATAGATGGGTGCCCCTCAACCAATCCAAAACTGGTACCACCACGGTACGCAATATTTTGCCGAAATTTTTGCTGTTTGACTATTAGGTTATGAGGAGGTTATGAGGAATGCGTGAATAAGAGAATTGGGAAAAACTGAGCTTCATGCAAGTTCCCTATTAATTGAGATATCTGAATGCAGCTTTCCTTGGAGTCTCATGAAGAGGACATTAGAAAAATTTGGGTTAACTATCTCAAAACCTTAACTACAGAGACATAAACCTCAAGTGCTAACATCAAATCTACGGAGACTAGCTTAGTCGAGTTCTGTATATTATAATCTCCTGCTGAAACCACGCTTCTCAGGCCCCTCAGTAGTAATACTTGAAATAATCTTGCATCGCTTTTCGTCTATAACGACACCGTGCGGAGGCGTCTCTGTACTAAACATTATATAATCTCCCGGACTGCCAGCTAATGATCAACAAATTGTAAATATTTTTCCAAGATAGAAATTGCGAAAATGAAATTATAATTAAACTGAAGAGAATTAATTTGAGGATTAACCCTTAAGTGGTCGCAGCTCTTCATTGAGCGTAGTTGGTCGCATGATAAGAGAATCCCCGCCTCGTGTATTTTACAATTTCATGAAAAAGAAAGTTGGAAAAATAATTCATTCCTCCTTTATGGGTAATTTTGAAAAAAAAAGAAATAGTCTGTAGACAAATGATAAACCTACTCTTAATGGGTGCAAAATTTTCAAATTTTGAGGTTTTACAGGAGGATTTTCAGCGAGTCGAATTTTCAAAAGATTTTCATAATTTGTAAGGGTAAGCCTGAACCAAATAGAAATTGTCGATAAGTTCGATGTTTTCGAAAGTAGGAACACAAATATTTATTAATTTTTCACTCACAAAACTTCCGTGTCAACGAATGTAGGGATCTACTGTGCTCATCGAGTAAGTGTGACCAATGAGGTCTTCCATGGTTTCCCTCAGTCTAGGCCAAATGGGTGCAGTTGGGGTAGTCGGCCCATGGTAATGCAAAGGGATGAACATGAGGGGTAAAAAGGGAAGAGGGAGAGACAGGCAGGATGCGGATGTCAATCGATACCCGAGTAGAAATTTCGTCGGTTTATCATCAGTTACCTATCAGTTGCAACCGACATCCCGAGTGGAAATTGTGGTCAGGTCTTGATCAAGTTTGGATCAGGTTAGACCTGACCACTGATCAGGTGTTGATCAAGTTGACGGATCCGGTCTTCATCAGATATGTGTATGAGGTGAATTTGAGAGTGAATTTCTGTGGTTCCCGGTAGCTTAGTCGGTAAGAGTGCCCGACGCGTATCTGGGAGACCCGGGTTCGATTCCCGGTTGGGTGAAGCGGAAATTTTTTCTCTCTAAATTCTAATTCTCTTAGAATTTTTTTTTTTTTTTTTTGTTTTTTACGCCTCTGACCAATCCGGATTTGATCAGGACGAATGGATCCGAACTTGATCAAGTCAACTGAAAACCGAATGACCTGTCTGTCAGTATCAATAAAAATTATCAATGATAATTAATCCAAAACAAGAGATAATTTAATTCTTTCACCGTAGGCCGCCTCTCTTAATGAATCTCTACTGTTATTACCTCTGAAAAAGCTTATTATTTTTTTACCGATGCTGGGGATCGAACCGGGGACTCTATGGTTGCTAAGCCTATGCCCTAACCACTACGCTATCGCGCTATTACTATTGAGTAAACTGTACATTGCCTATATGATTTGTATCAGGGTATTCGTTGAATTTACGATTATTCCCGATCTCGCGGATGTGCATGTGTATTCTCAGAGATAAAATATGTTCAATTAAATTTTTATTTATTTTATTAATGAATAATAATAATGATAATAACAATAACACGAATAAACAAATAGACATTTGGTGATTTTTTTCTGAAGATCATATGCGTGTAAGTTTGATACTCCTCTAATACGTATTTACGGCATCATCATCCCTCCCTTCTGTACGTTTGAGAAGGGCTGACTGTTAATTAAATTGATTAATTTAATTAAATTTATTAAATTAAATTAAATCAATTTAATTTATTTTAATTATAGTATAATGATCCTTTTTAAAGATTGAAAATAATTATTGATAATGGTTGATGAAACTTAATTTGAATAGTATAATAATACTTAATTAAATTATCCGAAAAACTTATTAAAATTAATGTCAGATGGGCCAGATCTGAATCTGATTATTTTCTCTTCAATTGACCCCGTTCAAATGCCGATCAAAGACATCAAATCGGAATTTGATCAAGGTGGGGTCAGGCAGTCGACCTCAGGGTGAGATCGTGCCTACCTGATCAGAACTTGATCTGAATCATCCTGCAGTTTTTCGGATCCGATCTACTGGATCAAAACTTGGTCAGGTTCTCATCAAGCATCATCTGATCATGTCTACCTGATCAGAACTTGATCTGAACCCGCCTGTAGTTTTTCGGATCCGATTTGCTGGATCAGAACTTGGTCAGGTTCTCATTAGAAATCACCGGATCAGTCGAACCTTACAAAAACCTGATTAAGTTCTGATCGTGCTTCAGGTGGGCCTGAAGCAATTTCCACTCGGGATGGTTACCGGTTCCACATAGGTTTCAACCTACAAGGAACTCACGGAAACGTCACGCAGTTACCTCACAAGTTACACGTAGGTTGTAACCCATCAAAAACCCGCATGATTATTTATTCATCTAATTATTATTAATAATTTGTCAATGATGAATAACTCATTAATTACCATGGAAAAGCATGCCCAATGACAAGAATCGATTTATATACGTAGAAAAAGAAAAAAAAATCACATTTTCGTTAAGTGGTCACACATCCAATTCCGAACCGTACTCGATGTTACTTAACTTTGATGATCGTCTGCTGTGCTGAAGTCCAAGTTCACTATCCTGTAATTCTTGGGAATATAACATTCCGATATGCCAGATCAGGCGAGGATTCGTATTCTCTGACGATTGACTTATGATTATTATACCTCAATGTGACCCTTATTTTTTACCTTTATTTCTGACCATTATTGCTGGCCCTTATTAATGAACCTTATTCCCGACCCTTGAGACCCTCAATTTTCACTTTCCATTCTGACCCTCGTGACCTTTATTTCTGACGTGTATTTTTGGCTCTCATTTCTGACCTTCGTGACCCTTATTTCTGACATCTATTGTTTATCTCCCTTTCTGACCCTCGTAACCCTTATTTCTCACGTCTATTGTTTATCCCAATTTTTGATCCTCATGACCCTTATTTCTGAGGTGTATGTTTGACTCTCATTTCTGACCCTCGTGACCCTTATTTCTGACGTCTATTGTTTATTCCCATTTGTGACCCTCATGATCCTTATTTTTGACGTATATTTTTGACTCTCATTTCTGACCCTCG